AACGGACCTTCCCTTTGCTGGTCCGCCCCGGCGTGAAAAAGCGACTGAAGGGTCCCGGGGGGGAAGATGTTAAGTTCCCATTAGCGATATTCAGCTATCGTTTTACCGCTGCACTTTCGTGGCTTTGTGTTTAATATAGTATAATTATTGATAGGGGAACAGTTGGGTATTTGTGTTAACGCTGCCCTTTCCTAATCTCTTGGTGGTTTGAAATATCAGTATAAATGGCCACCGTCCCCCGGAGAGTGAAATGTATACTCAGCGGCATCAGGATACGGGGTTTGCCCCCCCTCCCCTTCCCCAACTTTGACTGGAATTATTTTTTTCTTTTAATGTGGAGCATTTAAACTGTTTCTTATTACTTAGGCATGTGGTGAAAATATTCTTTTCGCAAATCTGGTATAGAATAGAACTGAAATGCAGGCTTCCTTATTGATTTGGTCCCCCCACCCCTTTTTACAGGAAATCAGAACTTACTGGCAGTATATATCATATCATCGGTTTACATTTTTCATACTTGTGAGTCTTAGCTATTATCTTTATCCAGCCATACATAAAACTTTCCCCATCTTTTATCAATTGTCTTTTTGCTAGCACCTTTTGTTATTAAACTCAATTTATCCATTTCTACTAATGACAATACTTTATCAATTATTTCTTTTTTTGAGGGCAGTTCTTCCTTCCATTTTTTGGCTAATAGTATTCTGGCTGCTGTAAAAAGACATATAATTACATATTTGTTCGTTCTATTATACATTTCTGGGAGCATATTCAATACAGCAATTTCTGGTACAAATGGTATTTGTTCTTCTGTAATCTCATTTACTATTCTATATATTTTTTTCCAGTATCTTTGTACTTTTTCACACTTCCACCACCGATGATATGATGTATACTGAAAACTTATAAATAAACTTTTTTAAAAAAGAAGAACTTACTGGCAGAAAAGAGCGAAGCAATGACTACTGATGAAGGTTAATGTTTCCCTATATGGTTTCCCTGTGAAGAAAGGTTAAAACGCTTGGGGCTAGAGCAGTCCTTTTCTCCCTTTCTCACCATGCAAGAACTCATGGGCACGCCATGAAATTGCTGAGTGATTGGGTTAGAACAGATAAAAGGAAGTACTTCTTCACCCAAAGAGTGATTAACACATGGAATTCATGGCCACAGGAGGTGGTGGCGGCTACAAGCATGGACGGCTTCAAGAGGGAATTAGATAAACATCTGGAGCAGAGGTCCATCAGTGGCTATTAGCCACAAGGTATAGATAGATAACAGCGTTCCGTGCGCCTTGGTCACATGACCACGGAAACGTCTTCGGACAGCGCTGGCTCTTCGGCTTTGAAACGGAGATGAGCACTGCAACCCCAGAGTCGGATTCGACTGGCTTTCGAGCAAGGGAACCTTTACCTTTTACTATAGATAGGAACTCTCGGTCTGGGGCAAGTGATGCTCTCTGTATTCTTGGTGCTTGGGGGGGGGACAGTGGGAGGGCTTCTAGTGTCCTGGCCCCACTGGTGGACCTCCTGATGGCACCTGGTATTTCTGACCACTGTGTGACAGAGTGTTGGACTGGATGGGCCATTGGCCTGATCCAACACTGGCTTCTCTTATGTTCTCTTATGTTCTTAACACAGAAAGCAGGATTATGGCTGAACACCAAGACAATAGTAATGACCACTGGGGAATTACACAGCTTTTAGGGTGACGATGAAGAAACTGAAACTGTTCAAGGTTTTCTATTCACTGGTTCCAACGTCAACCAAAAGGGAGACTGCAAACAAGAAATCAGAAGGAGACTGAAACTGGGAAGGGTGGCCATGAAGGAGCTAGGAAAGATTCTTAAGTGTAGAGATGTGTCACCAGCAATCAAGATAATTCATACTATAGTATTCCCTGTTACTATGTATGAGTGTGTAAGTTGGACAATGGAGGCAGCTGATGGGAAGAAAGTTGATTCATCAGAAATGTCGCATAGGAGAAGAGTTTCATGGATACTGTGGACCACCAAAAAAGACAAACCAGTGGGCTGTGGATCATATCAATCCTGAACTCTCCCTAGAAACTAAAAGACCAGATGGAGTCTATCGTACTTTGGTCACATTAGGAGAAGACAAAACCCACTGGAAAAAGACAGTCATGTTAGGAATCGTTGAAGGCAGCAGGAAAAGAGGAAGACCCGACGTGAGATGGATTGACTCCATCAAGGAAGCCACGGCCTTCAGTTTGCAAGACCTGAACAAAGCTGTTAGTGATGCTGTAATGATTCCTTGTTTTTTTTGTGGGTGTGTCTCTTTAAACGTTTGGTTGCATGGCTGTGGTAGATAGACTAGAGTGGTTGAGAGAGGCAAATGTGGTATGATTGGTGGTTGACAGAGAGGGGGAGGGTTTTTGGAAGTGAGTCTGGGTGGATGGGTATGTGAGTCAGTCAGTAGTTTCAGTTACAAGTTGACAGTTGATGGTGTTTAGTTAGTTCTGTGTTGAAGCAGTTAGAAGCTGACAGCTGCGGTTGTTCAGTGAGAAAGAGAAAGAGAGCTGAAAGCTGAGTGTATAGGAAAAAGTAAAGTTTAAGTGAAGAAAATTTAAAGGAAAGTCTGAGATCCCAGTACTGATGTGGTATTCAGATCTGGGATTTTTTGGAAATTCTGAATTTTTTCAGGTCCAATTGACCCAAGAAGAAAAAAATGGGGGGGGGGGATTGTACACCAGGAGCTGTGACCGAGGGGAGCAGTCTGCTCTCCGTGGGCATGTCTGATTCTAGGAAGACTTCTCTTGCATCCTGGTTTAGAAGCCAATCAATAAATAAGCAAACCTATAGAAAGTGATTTAAGAAAATAGTTAAATATGGTAATAGAGTTATACTGATCTCTTTGTATGTGTTATGTATGTAAATTTGTTGTATGTATGTTGGTTTGTGTATAATCTGAAAAGTAATAAAAGTGTACCTAACGGGTACTTATAACAAAAATAAAAATAAAATATGTGTAAAAGAACCCCTAAATTTAGGGCTCAGCCAAATGGATATTCAAAAAGGTACCTTTGACAAAGGTCTACACTCCCAGATGAACTCTGATTCTGTTAGTTTAACGATCCAAACATTTTCAATCTCATTTTTTTCTACCTATGATTTTGTTTTAATCTTAAATTCTGCCTGCATATACCAGGGGGCCACCGTTCTGTTACAGTATGGTAGATTTCAATGAATGCTGTAGATTCCTTGCGGCAGGGCTATTTTTGGGCAGGAACGCACCGGACCGGCTGTCAGGGTGTGGCCTAATATGCTAATAGGTTTTGCTGCTGGGTGTGGCCTATTATGCTAATGAGTTCCTGCTGGGCTTTTTCTACAAAAAGAGCCCTGCCTTGCGGACATATCAATCCGTAAAAGAAGGTTTGGTTCAGAGGGAGTGGAGAGTTAACGGAAAGTTTGCTCTGGGTCCCGTGGTACCCAGCCATTCCTGACGCTGTTTATCTGAATCTGACACAGTTTGACATCGGCCACTCCAGGCAGAGGAGACAAGCTTTTAGAAACCGGTTGTGGGCTGCCTCAATCGTTGGCACTTCACATCCAACAGCGGCTCCAAAAGCATCACGATGAACTGGCCGTCAACCGACATTGGTTGGAGACTGATTGGCAAATGCTGGGTTTGAATCCCGCGTCCCCCTTCACTAAATTATGGCATTTATTGTTTGTTTCCTATTGGCTATTATTTATTTATCTATTTATTAAATTAGGCCTTTATGCCACCATCCCCACAAGCAAGCTCAGGGCAGTGTACAACAAAGTTCCCTAAAATACGTATCATAAATAATCTACAATTTTAAAATACCCCAAACCCATACGGAGCCATAATACAATTTTAGTCCCCACAGCTTACTTTACTTTAACAATACTTTAACAGTGAGGATGCACCTCCACAAAAAGGTCTATTTGGGGACACAGTGGGATGTAGAAGAAGAAGAAGAGATTGGATTTCTACCCCACCCTTCACTACCCAAAGGAGTCTCAGAGCGGCTTACAAACTCCTTTCCCTCCCCCCTCCCTACAACAGACACCCTGTGAGGTAGGTGGGGCTGAGAGAGCTCTGACAGAAACTGCTCTTTTTCAAAGACAGCTCTTATCAGAACTACGGCTAGCCCAAGGTCATCCAGCAGGTGCAAGCGGAGGAGTGGGGAATCAAACCCGGTTCTCCCAGATTAGAGTCCGCGCACTTAACCACTACACCAAACTGGCCCTCTGTGATGAGAAATCGCCTTGTCTTGCTAGGAGAGGAAGTTAATTTTTCAGAGCGTTCCCAGCTTGTAGAGTTAGGCTGACCCCTTCGTGCTAACAACACGGGAACCCCCAACATGTTAGCGCCCTTCTGTTACCAGCCGCAGAATCAATGCCTGGACAGAATTCCAGGAGCTGCAGAAGACTAAGCCTTGGCCCAGTCATTCTCTCACCTACAAAAGGGGGCTCATATTGAACCAGGCCATTGATCCGTCTGGTTTAACTGGTTAGTAGAAGCTTTCCGGGGTTATGGAGAGGGGTTTCCCCAGTCCTTTCGGATGCTTTCAGAGAGAGATTCGCACTGAGTCCTTCCGCACGCAAAAGCACATGCTGCACCAACAAGCTGTGCCCCCTGCCTATGACCTCTAAGTCTTATTTACTTAAGACTGCCGTGAAGAACTATTTAAATATATGGTAACGGCGGCAAGAGAGTGGTTTGCGAATCCAAATGGAAGGCTGGAAAATGTCCAGAATTGACGGACTGGAAGAATAAATTAATGGAGAATGCAACAACGGCAAAGTTAACATCTTGCTTGCGTAACAGACCAGACTCAGAATTCCGAGAAAAATGGGACCTTCTGCATGCCAAGCAGATGCTCTGCCACTGAGCCAAGCTCTCAGATCAAGGTCTTTCCCATCACTTCCTATCTGACCCTTTAACTGGAGATGCCGGGGGTTGAACCTGGGACCTTTTGCATCCCAAGCAGACGCTCGACCACTCGGCCATGGCCCCTCCCTATGTGTTGTCTGCACCTGCACTTCAACACTCCTCCATGTGGTGGAGCCGAAAGCGGGCAAGGAAGATGAAGAAGCAGTTGCAGGAGGGTGGGAGAGCTGCAGGACGGAATCCCTCCTGTACCATTCTCATGGGTCCCCCCACCAGTGTTTCCTTAGGTTAGTGTGAGCCGGCTCACAGTTTTTTAGCCTCCGGCTCACGCATTTTTGTCTTAGCCCAGGAAAGAGGGCTCCAGAGCAAATATTGGTGGTTTAAGTTGCAATGTGAACCTTAAGGGAGTTATGGGATGGTTGTGAATGGTTGTGAGTGTATGAGTATGGTTGTACATCACCGAATGATTGCACCTTTAATTTTGTTGTACTGTGTACAATGACAATAAAGTACATCATCATCATCATCATTATTATTATTTCTATTTCATGCAGTAGCCAAATCGCTCGCTCACAATTTTAACGCCAGCAGTTCACAAAGTAGAATTTTTGCTCACAAGACTTCACAGCTTAGAGGGAGCACTGACCACTTATTATTAATAATGAACAACCTAACCAGAAGACTTGAGACATACCTGCTTAGTTGTTTTGTGAGCTCCCTGGGTTATTCTCTTGGATTTCCCTCCGATTTGCCATTTAGGCTTCCCTGGAAAGAGAGAAAAAAATTACATCATCAATGACCCTTGAATCACAGCGCCACAGTCTAAATATTTTCTTCTTGTTGGGACCTAAGGAGAGTCAGGTGGGGCAGCAGATCCTCCTTCGCAGTTTGCCAACTCTCAAGGAAGAGCAGCTGTAATGTATTTGCAGCTGAAAGGTTAGCTCCTTTTTGTGTTTACATGTGTGTGTAAGCGACCAGTAGTTGTGGAAACAATATATGCAGTGTTATATTTGGTTTAAATGTCGCAATGGTTTTGCGGCTCCCAGGTTTTTTTTTTCCGTCGGAAACGGGTCCAAGTGGCTCTTTATGTCTTAAAGGTTGCAGACCCCTGGTTTAACTGGTTAGTAGAAGCTTTCTGGGGTTATGGAGAGGGGTTTCCCCAGTCCTTTCGGATGCTTTCAGAGAGAGATTCGCACTGAGTCCTTCCGCACGCAAAAGCACATGCTGCACCAACAAGCTGTGCCCCCTGCCTATGACCTCTAAGTCTTATTTACTTAAGACTGCCGTGAAGAACTATTTAAATATATGGTAACGGCGGCAAGAGAGTGGTTTGCGAATCCAAATGGAAGGCTGGAAAATGTCCAGAATTGACGGACTGGAAGAATAAATTAATGGAGAATGCAACAACGGCAAAGTTAACATCTTGCTTGCGTAACAGACCAGACTCAGAATTCCGAGAAAAATGGGACCTTCTGCATGCCAAGCAGATGCTCTGCCACTGAGCCAAGCTCTCAGATCAAGGTCTTTCCCATCACTTCCTATCTGACCCTTTAACTGGAGATGCCGGGGGTTGAACCTGAGGCCTTCTGCATCTCAAGCAGATGCTCAACCACTCAGCCATGGCCCCTCCCTATGTGTTGTCTGCACCTGCACTTCAACACTCCTCCATGTGGTGGAGCCGAAAGCGGGCAAGGAAGATGAAGAAGCAGTTGCAGGAGGGTGGGAGAGCTGCAGGACGGAATCCCTCCTGTACCATTCTCATGGGTCCCCCCACCAGTGTTTCCTTAGGTTAGTGTGAGCCAGCTCACAGTTTTTTAGCCTCCGGCTCACGCATTTTTGTCTTAGCCCAGGAAAGAGGGCTCCAGAGCAAATATTGGTGGTTTAAGTTGCAATGTGAACCTTAAGGGAGTTATGGGATGGTTGTGAATGGTTGTGAGTGTATGAGTATGGTTGTACATCACCGAATGATTGCACCTTTAATTTTGTTGTACTGTGTACAATGACAATAAAGTACATCATCATCATCATCATTATTATTATTTCTATTTCATGCAGTAGCCAAATCGCTCGCTCACAATTTTAACGCCAGCAGTTCACAAAGTAGAATTTTTGCTCACAAGACTTCACAGCTTAGAGGGAGCACTGACCACTTATTATTATTAATGAACAACCTAACCAGGAGACTTGAGACACACCTGCTTAGTTGTTTTGTGAGCTCCCTGGGTTATTCTCTTGGATTTCCCTCCGATTTGCCATTTAGGCTTCCCTGGAAAGAGAGAAAAAAATTACATCATCAATGACCCTTGAATCACAGCGCCACAGTCTAAATATTTTCTTCTTGTTGGGACCTAAGGAGAGTCAGGTGGGGCAGCAGATCCAAGATGGACAAGAAAGCACTTCTTCACCTCACACATAAATAACTTGTGGAACTCACAGCTGCAAGATGTAGGCCACTCTGAGAGCCAGTTTGGTGTAGTGGTTAAATGCGCGGGACTCTAATCTGGGAGAACCGGGTTTGATTCTCCACTCCTCCACTTGCACCTGGATGGAAGACCTTGGGCAAGCCGTAGTTCTGATAAGAGCTGTTCTTGAAAAAAGAGCAGTTTCTGTCAAGAGCTCTCTCAGCCCCACCTACCTCACAGGGTGTCTGTTGTGGGGAGGGGAAGGGAAAGGAGTCTGTAAGCCGCTCTGAGACACCTTTGGGTAGTGAAGGGCGGGGTATAAATCCAATCTCTTCTTCTTCTTAGATGGGCTTAAAGGGAGAATCAGATGAACTTGTGAAGGATAGGGTCCATTATCAATGGCCATTAGCTATAATGGTGAAATGGATTCAGATCCAGTATAAGTTTGGGGTGTGTGTGTGGGGGTACTCGGTCCCTGTGCCCTTGTTGGTGGACTTTACGGGCTATCTAGCTGGCTATGATGTTGGACCATGGGCCGGACCCTGCAGGGCTCCTCTTATAACCATAACCTGGAGCGACAGAGCTGGCACTGAAGTCTGCTAATGGTAGCTTCCCTCCCCAAATTTCTTGGGCTTGGAATATGTTACTCACGGCCTTTTTAAATTTCAAAGCTCTCTTCTCTTAGTAAGAAGAAACTGAGCAAAGGGAAACAGCGAGCTCTGTGAAACAATACGCGCCTTCTATCACAAGAAGGCTTGGTGTGAAAATATGGGATTCGGGCAGGGATGACGGACAGACCACAATTAATTAATTATCGTGTGGCATTGTGTGTAGTCTAGCTGGGAGATCTGAAGATTGTCTGGCAGCCTTAACTACTGACTCATTTTGTGTTATGCACCACCAGGTGGTGAACTAGGCTTATTTTTTTACCCCTGGCTGAGAGAGCTCTGAGAGAGCTGTGACTGACCCAAGGTCACCCAGCTGGCTTCATGCAGGGGAGTGCGGAATCGAACCCAGTTCTCCAGTTTAGAGTCTGTCGCCCTTAACCACTACACCAAGCTGCCTCTCAGACCACAAGTACCATGAGACACTTGGAGGAAGAGTAATGCAATAATAAGGCAGTTTCAGAGGGTAGCTACGTTTGTCTGCTGCAGACCAGCTAGATTTGGATCCAGGAGCACCTGAGAGACCAGCAAGATTTTGGGGATCTAAGCTTTTGAGAGTCAAAGCACCCTTTAGTATCTGATGAAGGAAGTTTCGACCCTTGGAAGTTCATACCCCCCAAAATCTTGTCAGTCTTTAAGGTACTACTGTCCTTGAATCTAGCTGTACTAAGACGGATATCACAAACAGTTGATACACACCATCCTCCTCTTTGCTCTCCAGGGGCACGCTCCACGCGATCAAATTCCGCGCAGTTCGACCCTCCTCGGCCACTATTTTCCTGACTTTGTCGTGGCTGTTAGAACGCTGGAAAGAAGCCTAAAGGGAGAAAGGAAGTCCCGTTAATAGCCCAAAAGTAATTACTATTTTTTTACTTCTATATTTGTAATTGTATTAAGACTTGTTTTTCTTTTGATATTACCCACCAAGTTTTATGGTTGACTGTTATTTAATGTAGTTGTTTATATTGGTTATAAATGTTATATAAAATAAAATAAAAATATATTAAAAAACATAGTGGGAAAACCCCAGCATAGCGTTGGCCTTTTTTATTGCAGTCCCACACTGGCTCGACATTTTCATTGAGTTATCTACTATGACGCCAAGATCTCTCTCTTGGTCAGTCTCTGCCAGTTCAGACCCCGTCAATGTGTATTTATAGTTAGGATTTTTGGCTCCAATGTGCATCACCTTGCACTTGGCCACATTGAACCCCATTTGCCACGTTGACGCCCACTCGCCCATCCTCGACAGATCCCTTTGGAGTGCCTCACAATCCTCCCTGGATTTCACCACCCTGAACAACTTCGTGTCATCTGCAAATTTAGCCACTTCACTGCTTACTCCCAACTCCAAATCATTAATGAACAAGTTAAAAAGCATCGGACCGAGTACTGATCCCTGTGGTACCCCACTGCTTACCACCCTCCACTGAGAACATTTCCCATTTCTTCTTGCTCTCTGTTTCCTATTAATTAGCCAGTTTTTGATCCACAAGGGAATCTCTCAGCCCCACCTACCTCATGCGATATATGCTGTGGGGAGGGGAAGGGAAAGGAGATTGTAAGACGCTCTGAGATGCCTTCAGGTAGTAAAGAGCGGGGTATAAATCCAATCTCTTCTCTCTCTACCGCTGAGCCAGAGTCCCTTCCTTTCGCAGCACAAACCAAGGTAAGCTCGTGGGGCTTGGTACAGGACTCACACTGAGATGTGCTATCAATAGGTGTGATTTCAGGTGCTACACAAAACTGGGATCTTAAAACATTGTCACAGTAGGAAATATATATATATATATACACATACACACACACATACACACGACTCACCATCATGTTATAACTGTCCTCCGTGTCAACAGATTCGCTTATCGCATTTTTGGATGACCCCATGAAGTCGTCATAGCTGCATAACAGAGAACACAAAGAGTGTCAACATTTAAAAGGCACAGGTCTCCCAGATTTCTTCTCAGACAGAAAACCAGACGACGCGCCACGATGCCACGCATCGCCGAGACGATACGCCACGCATCACAGGGACACAAACGAGGACGAATGGTGTGTTTGTTCATTAATGACCGGGTTCGATTAGTGCAAAGCCAAACAGCATCCTAAGGCTCCTAGAGGCAAACCTTAGCAAGTGGGAATCGCTCACGGAAGTGTGTCCTGCAATAGACGTGTTAGAAGGTAAAAGTGCCTGAAGACTCTTATTTCGACAGCAACGGGCTAAAACGGATACGCCTCTGGAATATGAACGTTAAGCTTCCCCTGTGTATGCCACCTCTGAAACAAGATTAATATTGTGGTTTCTTAACAGAGCACAGTCACGGGAAAGGGGAAAAAATGGGTGGCTTTCAAAGGTATATTAACCCACTTCTAGTTTGTTTCAAGGTGTGAGATTTCGTGTGCACGCACACTTCCATCAGATGATGAAACGGAATTATGAAATGGAATTTTACCCCTGGACCTCCTGAGGGCACCTGGTGTTTTTGGCCACTGTGTGACAGTGTTGGACTGGATGGGCCATTGGCCTGATCCAACATTGGCTTCTCTTCTTATCATAAAGGTAAAGGTCTTCCTTGCTCGAAAGCCAGTCGGATCCGACTCTAGGGATGTGGTGCTCATCTCCGTTTCAAAGCCGAAGAGCCAGCGCTGTCCGAAGACATTTCTGTGGTCATGTGGCCGGCATGGCTAAACACCAAGGCGCACGGAACGCTGTTACCTTCCCACCGAAGTGGTACTTATTTATTTACTTGCAATTTCTTGCTTTCGAACTGCTAGGTTGGCAGGAGCTGGAACTAGAGACGGGAGCTCACTCCGTCATGCAGCACCCGGGTCTCGATCTGCTGAACTACTGACCTTCCACAGCCTGCAGTTCAGCGTCTTAACCACTTGAGCCACCGCAGGTTATCATAGTTGTATATATATAGGAGCGGTTTGTTAAATTAGCATGCAAAATAGTGAGGCCACTTTTTTTTAACAGATCAAAAGAACCGTCATTCTTTTTGACAGATCAAAAGCTTGTCATCCTTTCGATCTGTTAAAAAAAAAAAAAGGATCCTCACTATTTTACACACTAATCTAACACACCACTCCTAGATATATATACGACTATGATACGCCATTCCGTTCCATCGCCTGACGAAGTGTGCGTGCCCACGAATGCTCGCACCTTGAATAAAACTTTGCCGGTCTTAAAGGTGCCCCACGGAGCTCTACCTCTGTTCTCTGGCTTCAGACGACACGGCTACCCCAACCTTGGTCCACTTCTTGCTTGGCTCTTGATCCTAAGCCCCGTGCTTCCAGACCGGGTACAAATCACCCTCTTATCTAATTTTACTTGTTCCAAGAATTAAAAGAGGAAGGAGCTGAGGGTGGTTTTTCCTCCTTCCCTTGCCAAGCACAATTTTATCCCACTAGAACAGGGGTCTCCAACGTGGTCCCCGTGGCACCCACTGACACGTCTCCTGGGGCCCGCAGAGCGTTTTTTTTTTAGTGGGTGGGGCCAGGTGGGGCTTTTGCCCTGCAAGGCTTCTGATTGGCCACTGGAGATTTGATTGCCTGTGCAGGTTTTTTTTTTTTAAAAAAAACATTGCTTGGACAGCGGTTACAATGTTCCCTCTAAGCTGTGGAGTCTTGTGAGCAAAAATTCTACTTTGTGAGCTACAGACATTAAAGTTGTGAGTGAGCTATTTGGCTGCTGCATAAATTAGTTTGTTCTGGAGCCCTCCTTCCTGAGCTAAGGCAAAAATCTGTGAGCCAGAGGCTAAAAAACTGTGAGCTAGCTCACACTAACTCAGCTTAGAGGGAACACTGGTTACCACCCCAGCCCAAAGATCTTCACTGTGTGACCGAAAGCCATCGTGGCCATTTTCGTTGCCGGCACCACCTCCTGCGGTAACATGAACACGAAAGGGAAATTCGGTATGAGTAGATAAACCCTATAAACCAAATCACACCGCAAACAGACCATAAAACATTATATGGCTCTCTATTAAACACTTCCAAACATGAATTATACGCTGGGTTCCAAATGGTGTTCCCTCTAAACTGAGTTAGTGTGAGCTAGCTCACAGATTTTTAGCCCCCGGCTCACACATTTTTGTCTCAGCTCAGGAAAGATGGTTCTAATTTATGCAGCAGCCAAATCGCTCACTCACAACTTTAATGCCAATAGCACACAAAGCAGATTTTTTGCTCACAAGACCCCGCAGCTTAGAGGGAGCATTGCTTCCAAACAAGAATTGTTGAAAGTAATACTCGCTGCTGGAAGCAAGGTGAAGAAGTCATTAAACGAAACTGCCTTCAATCTGCAGGGATGTGTCCCGCTGTTTTGTAAATCAGCCTCTGGAAAGCACTGCTGCTGTTTTGTAAATCAGTCTTCGGGAAGTATTCTCTGTTTCATCCATCCATACCTGTTTAATGGATGCAAGCCATTTAGAAGAGATCTTCTTCTCCAACTCAGAAAAAGGAAAGTCATTGCTTTTAAGAATCTTGTAACAAGCATCGTATTTCTAGCGCTATCTTGTGTGTTGCACTGAGCGGGGAAAACTTTTAGCTTAGTGCATGTTCCTCGACCACGGATGCTGCCCAAGCGTGTATAAATTTATATGAATACACTGAATGTATCTTCATGATGTGTGAGATGAAAGTTATTGTACTGTCTAATTCATGCTGGAAAGTGTTTAATAGAGAGCTATATAATGGTTGATGGTCTGTTTTCGGTGCAATTTGGTTTACAGCGGCTCCACTTCCTGCGACAGCCATTTTGTGAAAACGACTCGGAATTCCAAAGGTGCCCACAAGCTCAAAAAGGTTGGGGACCCCTTGCATCAGAGGAACAAAACCTCCTAATATGCAGACAGGTCCCTGTAGAATGATCATTGGCTAACAGAATTTATCCATTGCACATGCAAGACTGCAGAACTTTTCATTCCAGCTTGTGACAAAAACACTAGCATGAAGGTGGCATTAAGCACCGCATAAAGGTTAAGGTTTCCCTGGCTCGAAAGCCAGTCGAATCTGACTCTAGGGGGCGGTGCTCATCTCAGTTTCCAAGCTGAAGAGCCAGCGCTGTCCGAAGACTTTTTCGAGATCATGTGGCCGGCATGACTAGACGCCAAGGCGCATGAAACGCGGTTACCTTCCCACCGAAGTGCTACCTATTTATCTACTTGCGATTTTTTGCTTTCGAACGGCTAGGTTGGCAGGAGCTGGGGCCAGAGATGGGAGTTCACTCCGTCACGCGGCACTCGGCTCTCAAACTGTTGAACTACCGACCTTCCAGTCTGCAGCTCAGCATTTTAACCTCTGAGCCACTGCAGGCCCATAAGTAATGAATGAATGAATTTTATTGTTACGGCACCCAGCCAGCAAAGCCCATAAGTAATGCATACCTAACTACATATTTAGGCAGTCACACAACTCTTCCTTTTTTCATTTTCTTCCTTTGATATCATTTTATCCACCTCGGTGGTATTAGGCCCCAAATCACACTCCCCCTCCAATATAAAATGAAGTCTACCCTACTCTTCCTTCTGCAGGATATGAGAGTCCATTATTGGTATCAGAATTATGGTGGGTGTGTTTTTTTAAATGATGCAACAAAACAGATGCATTGTTAAAACTGAATTTTATTTATGGCAGATTAAGTTTTGGAAAACGCAATATATAGGAGGAGGAGGAGATTGGATTTATACCCCGCCCTTCACTACCCAAAGGAGTCTCAGAGCGGCTTACAAACTCCTTTCCCTTCCCCTCCCCGCAACAGACACCCTGTGAGGTGGGTGGGACTGAGAGAGCTCTGACAGAAACTGCTCTTTTTCAAGAACAGCTCTGACAGAACTATGGCTTGCCCAAGGTCATCCAGCCAGGTGCAAGTGGAGGAGTGGGGAATCAAACTCGGTTCTCCCAGATTAGAGTCTGCGCACTTAACCACTACACCAAACTGGCATAAAAGCATAATAATGCAATGCTGCTAATATTTATTATTGTTGTTGTTGTTGTTGTTGATTTTATTTATTAATCGCCCTCTCCCTGTTAAGCAGGGCTCTGGGCGATATACAACAAAAGGCACATAGCCCCAAGACAACTATAAAGTCCATTAAAATTCTAATCACAAACGGAATTACAGTAGGTTAAAAACTAGATTTTTAAAAAGTCCAAGATGGCTTCTGTAGAATTTACTCCACACTTCTGCACAGAGGAGAGGAAGCATAGCTCAGAATTTGGGGGGGGGGGGGGGGAGAAGGGGTTGCCTCTGCGTTGGCTTGTCCGACTGCCCCCACCCCACCCCAGCAACACACCTTGTTGGTGGTCCAGGCAGGCCCCAGGGTCCTGTTGGGAAGGGAAGCCTCCCTCCCTGCCATGGGACTCTTTGGGAGCCAAGAGACCCCTCCATCCTCAGCCCTACCTCCTGCTGTGTGGCAGAGGAGCTCTGGGGGGGGGGCTGGCTGGGGGGGGGGGGG